CTCTTTCTCTTTCTCTCTCTCTCTTTCTCTCTCCTGTGTATGCATGCACCCAGGAAAGCCCATGCAAGGCCATGGTGAGAAGGTGGCTGTCTGCAAGCCAGGAAGAAAGCCCTCATCAAAAACCAAATTGGCCAAATCCTTAACCTTGGACTTCTAGCCCCTAGAACTGGGAGGAAACTGGGTGCTGTTCTGCCTTCTCTAGACACATGACCTCCTATTCTTAAAACAGTACAACCGTTATCTTTACCCCAGGGGACATCGTGGTATGACAGTGTTCGTGTAGGAAAGATGGGCCGGCCTCCTGTTATGGGGTGAACCGTGTCCCCCAAAAAGACTTGTTGAAGTTCTGACTCTGGTACCTATACATGTGATCTTATTTGAAAACAGAGTTGTTGCAAATGTAAACCACCCAGTCTTGGCATTTTGTTGTCAGCAGACTACACAGGTGGGTAGGTTTGAGACGGCTGAGAGGGAAGCCATATCAAAATGTGTAACAGGAAGACCGAAATGCAAGTAGAGAACAGATGTGGAAGTCACCAGAGTTTGGGTTGAGGCTGAAACCATGGAAGTACACATGATCAACTGTGGAATGTTCTAGAATAAGAGGACCGAAGGCTAAGGATAGACTCTGAAGGGCAGTGAGGAGCCATGGAGCAGCTGTGAAGGAGCAGCCAGAGAGGTAAAAGAAAACCAGGAGGTGGAGGTGAGAGGAACCCAGGGAGCAGGATGGACAAGGACAGGGAATCACATAGGGGTGCCGGGGACTCAACCCACCCACCTTTTTATAGTAGAGGGGGCTCCTCACCAGGAGAGTGTGAGAACGATGGGCTTCACCCCTCAAGCAAAAAGTCAAAGGTGGAAGGGGCAAAAACAAAAAACGTGGCCCACCCAATTTAGCCCCTTGAATTTTCACTGGGCCAGGTTCCAACGCACTGTGAGGCCTCCAGGCTCCTGCGAGCCTGATTCTGCCTCCTGCCACTTCTGGCTCCACGCCCTGCACTGAGGCCTTAGAGAGCCACCTCACTTCTCTGCCAGTCTGGGGAGGGAGGGCCCTAGGGAGTACTGGTGTAAGGCAGCGACCTAAACCCAGGGCCTGTCAGAGCATCTGGTGGCAGATCCAGGTGCCTGGCCTGGAGGACAGGAAATGTGGAAGATTTGGCTGGAGAGAAACTTTGGTGACATCCCCAGGGGAAGGCACTATCTCTATGCCAGACAATGTGCAAGGAATTTTGAGATCTCATTTCACTCTCTTAACAATGCTCTAAGATTGGCATTATTATTTCCATTGTACAAGTCGGGGAACTGAGGCTCAGAGAGATCACAAGACTCAAGGTTACACAGCTGGGACCACACTGAGATTTACTAGGTCTGGTGCAATTTCGGAGTCTGTGCCATTTTCTAGAATCCACTGCCTCTATGCACAGAATCTGACATAGTCCCTGTGGGTTTGCTATGTCTCTAAACACCCAGACTCCCCTTCCTAATTTGTCACGGCTCCAAGGAGAAGTCCTGTTGACACCTAGTCCGTGACCAGCGTTCACATAGCGTATGCTTTATACCACATCGAGGCTGCTAGCTATTATAATCACAGCACCCAGCAAAGTGTTGGTCACATAACAAAAGCTTAGCCAGTACTGGCTGAGTGAAATGGACAAATGAACTTGTGAACAAAATCCCCAACCTCTGGTGACATGGAATCCAGGTTCATGATACACGGTCTGTTGGATTGGGGCAAAGCTTTGGCTTTTATAAAGATTTTATAAAGAATTGAAATTATGTAACCTTGGGAGGCTTCTGGGGCAAGGGGAAAATCCATGGGCTTCTGAAGCCAGGGAGACATGGGCTCAAATCCCAGCTCTGCTACTTTCCACACTTCTGTGTGACCTCAGGCAGATTACTTCACCCCTCTGAATCTCAGATTCCTCATCTATAAAATAGCAGCCATTGTATCCTTGTAAGCAATGAATGAGATGAAGTAATGTCTTTCAAGCCAGTGGTTAGCTATGAATCCTGTCTTAAAACAAGGCTTACAAAGAACAAAAGAGAAGAAAATAGAAGAAATAGAGGCAGGGTGATCAGAATCCTCCATCCTGGGCATGCCCTATCCTACCGTAGAGGTCCCTGGAGGGTGCCCCAGGTCTTTGCAGGACACTGTGAAAACCCCGAGATAATGAACACAAAGCTCTGGCACATAGCAGGGTTTCAACAAGTGTTACGTCCCTTTCTTTTCCAACAAAATCACACCAAACGCATCTAATTCCTCTTTCCCACATGAAAGCTCTTCAAATATCCGGACACAGCTCTCAAATCTCCCGAGTCCACTTCCTCCCCTGAATAAACATTCGGGGGCCATCATCATTTCTTACAGGAATTGCCTTAAATCCTCTCCTTATCTATCCAAGCTGAGGTCCCACATCTAAGCTCAATTATCTGGTGCCTGCTCAGGGCACGATAAAACACAACTAACTTCCTGGGATAAATTCCAGCAGCTAATTTTTTTAAGTCTTAAACCATGACTTGATATTTATTCCCATTTTATCTTTTCCTACTAATTTAGTCAACGACTCTACCCAACCCAGATCTTTCTGCACTCTGTTTGCTGACTGATATTGTCGTCCCTTTCAAGTTCACGCTGTTTACAGCTTATCCAAACCATTGGCAAAATATGGACAGATTAAGGGCATGTGGATGACATGGAATCGTTCCTCCCTGCTTTGGGGAACATTCACTGCTGAACATCCATAGAATTTCTGAAATGGGGGAAAACTTAGAAACTTTGCATTCATCTCCACTCCCCTTTTCAAAGTAGTGAGTGACAGGGCTTGGTCCTGAATCAAGGTCTCCTGATAGTTTTGTCTGGCGCTCCTCTCATAGCCCCACAGCTGCTGATGTATAATTTTATGCACTAGAACAGCCCACTCATTGAACTACCTGTGTATTGGCTCATTAGTCACTCACTAATTGCTTTGCAATTTGCAACATTTCTTATGTTCACATTTCTTAATCTAACCATCTTCACAGGACCTCTGTGACCCAGGTTGTATTATTATCTGTATTTCACAGATGAAGAAACAGATCTTGAGAAAGCCTCCATGATCTGCCATGGAGCTAGAAAGTGACAGAACCAGGATCTGCACACAGAGTCTAAGTATTTTCTGTCTGCTGTTCTGCCTTCCCTAGACACACAGCCTCCTATTCTTAAAAAAATCTCAGTATAACTGTCATCTTTACCCCAGGAGACATCACTGTATGACAGTGTAGGATGGGCTAGCCTCCTGTGATGGGGTGAGCTGTGTTCCCCAATAAGACATGCTGAAGTTCTGACTTCTAGTACTTATAAATGCGACCTTATTTGGAAACAGAGTTGCTGCAAATGTAATCAAGTTAAGATGAGACCATACCGGAGTAGGGAGGGCCCTTAGTCTAATATGTTGGTGTCCTTATAAGAAGAGGACAGAGAGACACACAGGAAGGTATGTGATGACAAAAGCAGAGATTGGAGTGATGCAGCTACAGCCAAGGAAGAGCAAGGACTCACAGCCACCACCAGAAGCTAGGAAGAAGCAGGGGAGGATTCTACCGAGTCGGGGCATGGCCCTGCTGAGCCTTGATGTCAGACTTCCAGGCTCCAGACTGTGAGAGAATAAATGTCCATTGTGTGAAGTCAGCCAGCCCAAGAACACGAATACACCTCCTGTGTACCTGTACCCAGTTTGGAAACAGAGTACAGGTCCTGGAGCAGGAGGAACCTATGGTACACTGGGGGTATGGTGTGTGAGCCACACTGAAGGGACACCTTCTCCCCGCTCCCTGGGCCCCTGTCTCCCTAGTAGCCACCTAGTCATTTTGAGGACTTTAGGCTCACTTTTGTGACAAAACCCTTTCCTGATCCCCTTTCAGACGTTCCTGAAAAGATGTCTGCTCCCTTCTCTGTGCTCCCACTGGCACTGTCCAGGCAGCTCTTCTGCATGCCACTTCGTTTGCTTTCCCGTCCATCTCACCACTAGAGCACAAGTCCCTTGAGGCAACGCCTAGACTTGATGTGTCTGTCCCTGTTGCGCTGGTCTAGTGTCTGGTACCTAAGAGGGGCTTCACAATAACCTGTGGATGGCTTCTCCTTCCATCTTTGTAGGGACTGGCATTAGCTGTTACCAGCCAAAGGGGGTTTGGAAGCGTTCAGAAGGATGATGTCGAGGGTATCTTCTGGGCCCCAGGTTTTGCAGTTCCCTTAATGCCTATTCTAAGCAAGAGATAAAGACACTTGTCCGCATCTTTCTCAGGCCACCAACAGTGGTGTTTATCTGTTCCTAGCCCTATGCACAGAGTCACTCACTCATCACATGCTACCCAAATAGGGTAGCTTGGGAAGCTACTGTCCTCTCTAAAGATTTTAAAAATAAGTGACACCTCTTAAAAGTCTCCATGAACCAGGTATGAACTGGGGATGGAACTGAGGTGTGCATCTGATGCTGCGTGCCCAGTATTTTAAGTGTTTTATCCCAGATCATCCTCAAAACAACCAGAAGGGCCTCAGAACAAAGAGAGGACTGGGGCTCAGAGACGTGGAATAACATGCCTAAGGGGGAGGAAGCTAGTGCAGGGGAGAACCAGGATCCTAGGGCTGGGAGCGGTGGCTCACGCCTGCAATCCCAGCACTTTGGGAGGCTGGGGCAGGTGGGTCATTTGACGTTAGGACTTCGAGACCAGCTTGGCCAACATGGTGAGCCTCCGTCTCTACTAAAAATACAAAAATTAGCCGGGCATGTTGGTGTGCACCTGTAGTCCCAGCTACTCGGGAGGCTGAGGCAGGAGAATCACTTGAACCTGGGAGGCAGAGGTTGCAGTGAGCTGAGATCGTGCCACGGCACTGCAGCCTGGGCAACAGAGTGAGCTCCATCTCAAGAAAAAAAAAAAAAAAAAAAAAAATTCTGACTCCAAATCCAGACCCCAAGTCTCTGACTTCCAGGACACAGTTCATCTGGCTTGCCAAAAGCAGTTACCTTCATAAGAAGCCTTGAATCCCAGGGAGCTGCCACTGCCATCAGTCTGGAAGAGGAGCCACATTTGATGATTGGTGCTGACAATGAGATCCGGGACCGATGTACCTGTCAGGCTGGCAGGAGAGAGATATTTAGAGGTATGCTCTCCACCATGACACCCGAATAGAATGACTGCCTGACCGATGATATCTAAAGGACTATCCAGGATCCAGGCTCACTTGGGCAAATTCTGGGCCCCACTGTGTTTCCGACATTGGAGCCCAGCAGCATGCTCTCCATGTGCTGGGAAGACTCATCCTGTCTCTCCCTCGGCCATGGGTAGAATCTCATGGGTTGAATCTCAACTTTTACTCCCTAGCCCAGACCCTTGGGTTCACAAGGGAGATCTGTGTCCTTACTTGCTCAGGGGACAGGGATAGTTAGAGCCAAATCCAATCAAGGGGGTATCTACATTCTTGCAACTTTTGATCTTTTGTGTGACCTGTATTGCAGAAAAGACCTCCCCTACCCCCACCTCCTTGCTGTCTTTATGTGGGTTTCCCCTCACAGAAACCGATTTCCACAGTTGGAACCCAAGTCATTCTTTCAATGAACCATCTCCTTCCACTCTAGGATTAGGAAAAAGGCTTAAAGTACAGTCATTATCTGAGGGCCACATTCTTTTTGAAGAAGAGGGTTTAAGCATGGGTACGGGGGGAGGGGGGATTCAATTCAGAATCCCAACCCCAAGCACCTACCCATGTAAGATACTGTGCTTATCAATTTCCTACCCATTATCTCATTTAATGGCCCCGCTGCCAGGAAGGTAGGGGTTGTCAGTCCATAGTACAGATGAGAATACGGAAGTGCAGAATGGGCAGTGGCTTCCCCAAGGTCAACCTGATACAGTGGCAGAACTAGGAGTCCCCTGTGCAGGTTGGGATTTCCAGAAGAAACCCAACCTCATCATTTTGTCGAGATCAGATAAATTACCAGCACAGATGGAGGCAGGGGGTTGTGGAGTGGGCAATTGAACTAATGAGTCCTAATCTCTGCTTCACCCAGGGCCTCAGAGCTTGGGAGGCTGTCAAGTCGGCTGCAAAGAGGTTATCACACCATGGGGGATATGGAAGTGGAGCTGGGATAGAGCACCTGGGATCCAACAGCTTGGCCTGTGTGATGTCCCTGAGCCTGGGCTCTGACAAGCTGAGTAAGGATTGTGGCCAGGCCAGTGCTGGCTCCTGACTCTGGGGTGCTGATGAGCAAGGGAAAAGGCTGGGACCCCTGCTTTTCCTCTGTTTGACCCAATTACACCACCAGGCTCTGAGTCTGCCATTCATTTGCTGTGGGACCTTGGGCAAGCAGTTGAGCCTCTCTGGGCTTTTTCACTCTATGTTAAATGAGGGGATTGTATGGTATGATCCTCAATAGCCTTTTCAAAAGCTCTGCTATTCCAAGGTCTTCTCTATGTCAAAGCACACTGGGATTGTGGAAGGAAGAGAGCTAGGATCCTAGTCTCTTGGGCACAAAGAGCTGAGGCACCATATGGGTCAGTAAACTAGGGCAGAAAATGAGAGATGGGGATGCACCAAGTGAGGGGGAGAGGTAAGTGTGATGGTGAATTGCATGTGTTAACTTGACTAGGCCACAGGGTACCCAGATACTTGGTCAAACATTATTCTGGGTGTTTCTGTGAGAATGCATTTGAATGAGATGAACATTGAAATCAACAGACTGAGTAAAGCAGATCGCCCTCTCCAAGGTGAATGGACCTCATCCAATCAGTTGAAGGGCCAGACAGAACAAAAAGATGGACCCTCCTCTGAATAAGAGAATTCCTCCTGTCCAATTGGCTTTAAACTGAGACATCAGCTTATTTCCGGTTTTGAACTTGAACTGTAACATCAGCTCTTCCTGGAACTTGAACCTACTGGCATTTGGACTGTGACTACATTATTGACTATCCTGGGTCTCTAGCTTCTTAACTCACCTGGAAGATCTTGGGATCTGTCAGTCTCCCAAAATCACATGAGACAATTCCTTACAACAAATTATCTGTCCGCCCATCTAATTGCTATTTGTTAGTCTGTCTGTCTGTCTATCTATCTATCTATCTATCTATCTATCTATCTATCTATCTATCTACCATCTATCTATCATCTATCAATCATCTATCATCTACTTATCATCTGTGTATCATCTATCTATCATCTATCAATCAATCATCTATCATCTATTTTCTATCATTATCTATCATCTATCAATCATCTACTTATCATCTATCTGTATATCATCTATCATCTATCAATCAATTGATCAATCAATCATCTATCATCTATTTTCTTTCTATCTATCTATCTATCTATCTATCTATCTATCTATCTATCTATCTATCTATCTATCATAATCTCTCTCTCTCTCTCCTATTGTTCTGTTTCTCTGGAGAACCCTCACTAACACAGTGAATCAGGCATGGGGCAGAATGCCCTGTGGGCTCACGTTCCATTCCTTTGTCTGGAGAAATCCCAGGTCCCAGCCATGTCACCTGATTCACTGGGTACCATTGGATAAGGTGAGTCATGTAACTGTCTCTATAGCATCATCTCCAGGTAGGTGCAGGGAAGTTGCGAGAAACACCCAGAAAAGAACAGCCTCTGGTCAAGCCAGCTGTTACTAAATGGCCATTTCTCATTCAGCATTAGAACTGGAAAGAGATATCCTGGAGCTAGCCTTGTTGGGAGGGAGTGTGGCATGGGACATTGTCCTTTGCTGAAATCAAAAGAATAAACTTGAGTGCTGGTTCTGCTATCAGCCTTCTCTGAAACCTTTGGGCCTCAGTCTCCCATCTGTTAAACAAGAATAATAACACCAGGGCTTAAGTGAGATAATTGACGCAAAAGTTTCCATCCCAGTGCCTGGGAGCATGGTAGGTGTTTAATGCTCCCTTCCTCCACCTCCTTCCTGGAAGGGAGATGGATGTGGTCAGGACTGTTTGTCTCTGAAGCTAAGCCACATGCCCTGAACAGAAGCATTTCCTGACTTTTTTTTTTTTTTTCCTGTTTTTAGACAGGATCTCACTCTGTCACCCAGGCTAGAGTGTAATGCAATGCTCTCAGCTCACTGCAGCCTCAACCACCCAGGCTTAAGCTATCCTCCTGCCTCAGCCTCCTGAGTAGCTGGGACTACAGGCGTGCACCATCACATCCAGCTAATTTTTGTATTTTTTGTAGAGAAGGGTTTTCACCATGTTGCCTAGGCTGATTTCGACCTCCTGAGCTCAAGTAATCTGTTCACCTTGGCCTCCCAAAGTGCTGGGATAACATCAGTGCACCACCACGCTTGGCCTTTTTCCTGGTTTTCAAGTCAGGCTATTGGTGGTGGGCAAAAGAGAAGCTAAATGGTCCCAAAGAGCACAGGCTCAACATAGTGGAATCTCATGACAGCTTGATATTCTCCTCTCCCTTGTCTGTAACATGTCATACTGGTCTTTTTCAGCTCAGGAAGTGTGGCCACTATGTCTATATGGTCCTGATTCTCTGAAACCATCCATTTCCCAGGGAGTTCTGAGCACACAGAAAGATTAGCAACTCATTTGCATTATCTCTGTCTGGGGTCAGGCTGCCATGGCTGGATGTGGCCTGGAGTAAAAACTGTCAGGGTGGCAGAATCAGGGTCTGCATGGAAGCAGCCAGCCAGTGGAAGGCTCCAGGTTCATCCACAAAACCTCCATCTCCCCTGCCCCCTAACAGACTGCTCATTCTGTTCACATTTCATACGAATTCAGTGAGAAGGTGCCCAGTGCTCTTTTCCCCTTGGTCAGAATAGAGAGAGGTGGAGGGATTATTGCTGAAACTACGAACACTGCAGGATACTGTCTTTACTGTAGCATGGTCTAGGGACCAGGCAGGACTCCACAAACCCCACCTCACCAACCCCAGCCACCAATCCACCTTCCAAACAACACGCCCCACCGCACTTACATGTAGAGAACTGTCTTCTGGTCCCCATCCTGACCACCATCCCCGACCGTCAGGGTGTCATAGCCCCTCTCCAAATCAAACTCCTCAAAGGCAAGCTTGATCACCTGGGGAGGGAGCACAGGGTTAGGAGCGGGTAGGGGTTGTGAGGAAGGCTTCCAAAGCCTTGAGGGGAGGAAGGATTTTCTGTGTTATGTCCCAATGCTCAGAGTCACTGGTGACACCATCCTACACAAACCATTTCTGTGCCACTTGAATGAGTGAACTATTCTCTCTAGGCCATGCGGTCTCCAGGGCCCCCTGATGTTTCTGAAGATGTTCATGGCACATCTGGCCAATTCCGATGGCTGTCACAGCAACCGGGCACATCTGGCCAACAGCGAGATGATTAGACTCTTTCTTCACGCCTTAATGCATAGAAATCCCCACTGGCTTGTTGGCAATTTTTCAGGCCACATGTGGAATCTCAGCTCTCTTGCCCCCAGGGACCTGCAGAAGTTTCTCTCATCTTCTCCTCTGCCTGCTTTTCTCCATCCTTTTCATTTGTTTATTTGTTGAATAAATGAATGTTCTCAGAAAGAGATTTCAACAAGATTCCTCCCTCTTGTTTTAATCCTGCCTTCCACAAATATTTACTAAGCACTCGCCATATGCCAGGCTGGGCAGTGGGTTTCCACAGTGAGCACGACATGGTCCCTGCCCTTGGTAAGAAGGGGAGATAGAAATGCAAACTGATAACCACAGCACTGGGGTGCGATGGATGCTATAGGGGGCTGGGGGAGCGAAGAGGAGCCTATGGCTCACCCAGCTGGAGTCAGGGGCAGGCACTACTGGACATGGGGGTGTCTGAGGAAATTCTGAAGGCTACTGATGACCCTGTCAGGCCAAAAGGGGATGCTTGGAAAGGGAGGGAGGGGGATGCTCTAGGAAGAAGTCAGGTGCACAGGGCCTGAGTTATGGCAGAGATGGAACATTCCAGAACAAATTATTCAGTGTCTGTTGCTAGCAGATCTGCAAACTGAACATACCTGCTAGCTGCCTGGCTCTGGGGGATAATGTGACCGGGCCTTCAGTGCAAGGAGGTGACTTGGGAAGGTCTAGAATTTGAAAAGTTTCCCTGGAGCTTGGTTCAAAAAGTCTCATACATCTACCCTCCAAAATTAGAATTTATCCCAGGGGAGGAGCAGTAGAGTTTTAAATAGTGGGTGACAGGGACACATAGGTGTTCGAGAAAATGTCAGTGTGGCAGTATATGTGGAACTGATTGGCAGGAGTGAGGCTGGTGGTGAAGATGGTTGCAGGCTTTTGTGGTAGTGCAGGTGAACGATGGAAGAGTAGCAGTGTGGACGGAGAAGAGGGCAGTTCCTCGTGATATTTAGGGCTTTGCAACAGGATGCATGTGGCGCTGAGGGGAGGGAAAGATCTAGGATAAGTTGCAGGTTTCTGGCTTGTGCAATTGGATGGGTGGGGGATGGTGCCATTCATAAGGACAGGACACACACAGGCACCCACTCCTGATGTCTCATCTGTATCTCTTTTTGTCTGTTTCAGTCTGGTTTCAATCTGATGATGATCTTCATTCCCCCAATAGGGAGAATGAAGTTGCTCCTTTGCTTTCTGTTCTACAACTCAAGGAGTATATAATTTCCGTGGATATTTTTTCCTAGTTGTGGCTGACACCTTCTGCAGGTTTCCTCCATCCAAACCAAACAGTCCAGCACCCACGTCCTGCCAGGGACCCTGCAAAGCATTACTGCAAGGTGCTTTCTCAGGTATCCCAGAGGCAAATTGACACTGCTCTCATTCATAAGCCTGGGTAGTGTCTATGCAGGGCTCCTCTGAAGTGCCTGAGAGTCACAGAAAGATGCATCTCTGGATAATAGTATCTGAGCACATCAGTGGGTCTACAGATAGACACAGAACAGGAAGGAAGTGATTGCTTTTGACTGGGAGAAAGGTTAAAGGCGGCTTCCTGGAGGAAATGAAACCCAGGCTGAGTTTGGAAGATGAACTGGAATTCAACCAATGGATATGGAAGGGAAAGCAACCCAGGCAGAGGGAAGGGCAGGGGCGTGGAACAGGGTGATTTGACCAGAGAGGTCTAACTACTGTGTAGTTCTTTAAGTGCAGGGGAGGTGGAGCGTGGCGATATGAGAGAAATAGGAGGAGTCAGATTATGAGAGGCTGCTGGTAATGCTGAGAATTTTGGGCTTTGTCCTAAAGTCAACGGGGAGTTATGGAAGCGTTGGCAGCAAAGGCATGACATGAGATTTTCGATCTAGGAACAGGAGCATTGAGGAAGAGTTGAAAGCCAGGAGGCCAATTTGTAGCAAGGTCTAGGTGAGGTGGGATGTGGGACTGTAGTAAGGTCTAGGTGAGGCGGGATGTGGCCTGTAGCAAGATCTAGGTGAGGCGGGATGTGAACCTGTAGGGAGTTCTAGGTGAGGCGGGATGTGAGCCCGTAGCAAGGTCTAGGTGAGGCGGGATGTGGGCCCGTAGCAAG